CCCCCCTCTCTTTTCTTTAAATATAAATCTTTTGTATTTAAGACCATGGCCTGAAGACCCGTCCCATTCACACCATATAGCAGCTGGGGCTGTCCCTAGTCTGAGCTCTGATCAGAGGAGAGATTGAAGACTTGATCTTTCCCTGGGGAAAGAGGCCTTATATTGTTTGATGATTTCAATGGCTGACACTCTCTCCAACTCTCCCCTTCCTCTCCATTCCTCACACTTCCTATGCACCCACGCTACTTCCCCAGGCCAGGATGGTTGGCATTGAACCAAAAACCTCTGAGGGAAGGGGAAATTGATGACCTTTTGGCTCTGGGGCCCTCTTGGCCCTAGCTGAGATCATTATTGCTCCTTTTACATTTTCCCCAGAAGTGGGGTTGAATTAGAGGTGGGTTCTAATTCTATAGCAGCTAAATGCCATTCTGCCCCTCCTGACCATCCTGACCATAGCCCTAAGGCCCCCTTTCCTACTGACCAAATCTCTTTACCTTGTTTGGGGGAATATATTTTGTTTTTAAATCTATTTTCTAACTTAAATGCAATTTAATATGTAAATCTCTGCACTTTTTGTGTGAGCCTACAAATGTATGTGTTGGGGTTTTTCACCCTCTGGTATTTCTTAATAAAGAAATCTTTCTTTTGGGGGGTAAGCCAATTAATGAAGGAGACTTGAATGGTTTTAGAAATATAGGGCTGTGTGTTTCTTTGTGCTTCTGCCTCATTTCTTTACTTGTGCCTAGTATGAATGATGGGGCCCCTCCCTCACCTTTGAACCCCCCCTTCTCTTTCAGAGGACCCTCAAATCAGTGGGCTAGAGAGAGACACAGAAATAGAGACAGAGAGACAGAGAGAGCTGTCCTGTATCTGGTACCCCTCTGGGACCACTTAGATTGGCTCAAGTGGTAACCTAGCAACTTAGCCGCCTCCTCATTCCCTGTAGCCTGGCCCTGTTAGTCCTTTCTTCCAACTCAGTTCATTTTATACTCCTGAGGCTGGGGCCAGGATAGAGAAAATCACCAAGAGATCACAGTAAATAGCTTTTTTATTCCTGAAAGGTAATAATTTTTTTTCTCATGGTGCTACTAAAGAATTACATTCCCAGTAATTCAAAAGGCATTTGCGTTACTTTTGAGAATACATTCTAGGAATCTCTTGCTGTTCTTAGGCGATAGGTTTTAAAAATAGCCTCAAAGACTCAAACTCTGAATATCATTGATTTTAAAGGATGCAAGCAACACACAAGAAAGAGTGTTGGTGAACAGCATGCTTTGGGTAAATATGAAAGGGGAATAAGAAGTATACACATTCATCTTAAGAACATGCAGATGTCCTATAGCACATCACTACAGGTGGAAATGGTGTAATCACTGGTCCTAATGATTTCATAAATAAATACAAAATGATCTTATAATGTGAATAACACATGGGGTTTCCAGGAATACAGCAACTGTGTAGATTGTGGGAAGGTAGTATTATACTTTGTTTGGAAACTTACTATGAGCTATTCTTGTCCATAGTGCCATTCTTGGGTATCGAAGTTGCCATCACAACCCATGTTTATATTGCATTCAACTGTGATCCACAGACAGTAGGCTATATCTTGTACTTTATTGTGTATCTTAGCTTCAACATTTCCAAGCATTTCTATTAAAATACATTATCTTATAGATTACTTTCTTTTAGTGTTCCCCTTCATAGTATCACTAGTACAGTAGTCTCTTTTTTTTTCGTGAGTCCCATGTTCACAGACTAAACTAACCTTAGATTTAAGATATTCCTAAAAACTTTACCTGTGCCTGGTGTGGTGGTGCATGCCTTCAACTTCAGCATGTGGGAGGTAGAAGTAGGTGGATCTCTGTGAGTTGGAGGCCAGCCTGGTCTACAGAATGAGTTCTAGGCCAACCAGGGCTACACAGTGAAACTCAATGTCAAAACAAAAATAACCTGCATCTGTACTAAGCATGTCCAGACTTTTGTGTGTCGATAATGCACAATACAGTGTACCAAATATTGATGTGACTCAAAAGCTCTGTTTCTAGAAATATATAAAGCTGTAATTACAGATATGCCCATATATTTTTAGAAGAACTATTGAGTCACAGAGAATGCTCTTTTATAAGCTCTTGGCCAAATAGTTACATGGGAAGGGTGTCATAGTTCTGCCAGTGGTATATCAGAAAGCTTGCTTCAACCATGTCATTCAAACATTCAGTGCAATAATTTGATAGTATAAATCTCACTGTCATGTACTTTTACATTTGCTTGGTTAATAGTGAGATTAGACATTTTTTGCACTTTTCATCTCTATTTATGGACATTTATATTTCTTCTGTGAATTATCTGTCCATAGTCCATGTTCTTTTGGTACCAGGTCATTTTCTGATAAATCAATAAATCAGAGCTTAGGGCTGCCACTCCCTCTTGAGCCTGGAAATGAGAGGACCCTTGATTTAGAAATGGCTTTACAATTCCAGAACACAGGCTAGAGTTACCTCCTTGACATTCCATGTTTCTTTGCTTTCTTCTTTTTAATATTTGTCTTTATATTTTAATTATACATATATATGTATGCTTGCTTGTGAGTATGTACCACAATGCCTGCAATATACAATGCCTGCAGAGGTAGAAGAGGTGTCAGATCTCTTGGATGTGGAACTATAGAGAGTTGTGAACCATCCAACATTAGTGCTGGGAACTGAACTCAGGTCCTCTACAAAAACAGTATGTACTTTTAATCTGGCCCCCCGCTGTTTGAAGCCCATTTTCCCAATCTTTTCTGTGAACTACTGCCCATCTATTTGTCTGTCTTTCAGTAGTTGTCTACTCCAACTTGGATGAAGGAGATAAGAGTTTTCTGTCCAAATAAGATACGTGATGATTATTTGTCATAAAACCCAGGCTCTGATGAACTACACAGCTGAAAGGAGCCTATTAATGACATGGGCACAAGCTGCTTGCTTGTGCTCTCATATTCATGATCTTTCTGTCTCCAAATTAAGTACAAAGACTTATGCAAAGTTCCATAAAGAATTACCAGTAGAGTTAAGACCAAAAGAAAGATGCACTAATTTCAAAATCCAGAAAGTTTTGTAGTCTAACCCACTCCCTCTATGTTAAGTGGGTATAAACAGAAGGAGTTTGCATTACTGCAGATAGTGATGGAATGAAATCAGCCTTTGATTTTTGTTTCACATTCAATAAATAATTTGAGTATTGTGTGCTATGTGTTAGGGCAGTTGTTCTTAACCTGTGGGTTGTGATCCCTATGGGCTTGAATAATCCTTTCACAGGAATCACATATCAGATAGCCAGCATATCAGATATTTACATTATGATTCATAAAAGTAGCAAAATTACAGTTCTGAAATAGCAACAAAATTAATGTTATGGTTGGGGGTCACCACAACATGAAGGATTGCATTAAAGGGTCGTAGCATCAGGAAGGTTGAGAACCACTGTTCTAGGGTTAACAGGAGAAACTGCATTGCTGACATAATTCTCTCTTAAACATATTGACACACAGCAATGATTTTTTTTAGGATTATTTCTCATTTGGAGTTTATAGGATTCATGCTTTTTCCATTTTAGGGGTCAGGTTGACAAGGGGTTGGTTATGGAGTTTTTGTTTAGAAGTTAAATCGCTTCAATCTTTCTCCAGACCCCTGCACTTAGGTTGAACTGGTGGTGAGGTTTCTTTAGTATTGAAAGTCAGGAAATTGCCTTGCCAGTTCCCACAATCAAGTTGGCTATGCCTTTGTGAGGGCCATTGCCTTGGGCTCATTCTTGCTTTCTGATGCTATCCCTAGCAGGTCCCAGAGGTAATGGTATACAAATGCTATATTGGTCACTGTGAAGTTATAGGAAAAGGTGAAGCCTACATATTGAGTACTATAGAATTCCATTTATTTAAGTACTTCCTGGAGGAGGAGTCTTGGCTGAGTCCAGAGGGGAGGCAGTTCCTTCCCACTTGATTGTGTTCTTGGCTGAATAATAATGCAATGTGGCCACTGTTGTGTGAGAAGTGAAGGTAGGTTCTATTGTGAGAGAGAGCTGGGAGAACCACTTTTTTTTTCCCAGCTTGGAAACCTCATACATCATCCTGAATTTCCTGAAGGGGGTGGGGGGGTGGGCTTTCTGGGACTATGGGACTATAGATCCATCAGTGTGCTTTTTCGCCATGACTTATATTTCAATGTCCTTGGGCCCTGTGGTCCGAATACAGCCTTCCACCCCTGTGAAATGTCTGGGTGGGAAGTTCAGAGAGTGAGAGAAGTTGGAAGGTTACCAGTAGGGACTAGGGCCTCTGCCATATGTTGGCCCACATTGCCAAAGGGATTGGGCACAGGTGGGAAAGAGAATGGTGAGGGTCTGTGATGAGCTGCCCAGAACCAGCCTAGAGTGGTCTTAGGGGGTGTTAATGAGATAAGGAGTCTCTAATTGAGAAAGGAGGCAGTGGAGCTGGTATGTGACAGTGCCAGGAGCTGCTTCCCTGATGGGAAGAAGGAAAATGAGCCTGTCGTCTTGAATTGGACAGTAGCTGACCAGACTGGAACCCTTTCATCTAGTGTTTAGTAGATAGAAGTCTGTCCCTGGGGCTGATAATCTACAAACGACAGAGCTCAGGACTGCCCGAACTACCCTAGATTCCTTAGAAGGCCCTTATCTCCATTATCAGCCTCCATTATAATCAGAGTTGGCACCCTCAATCAACCCTTGAAATCCAACATCTCCTAAGTATTTGAGGATCAGCAGAGCCTGTGGATATGGGCATCTGAGCCCTATTCTCAGTAGGGATATTTGGAGGGAAGGATGGAACCAGCTGGAGCTTTAGATGGAGAGTTAGATTAGCAGAGTCAAGGTGTCTTGCATCCTCAAGATGGGGAAAGATGGCCCTGAAAGGACAACGAATGGCTATTTTGCCAAGATCACCTTTAAAGACCTTTCTGACCCTCCCCAAACCCTCGGCCCCTAGGAAAGAAAACAGGAGACTGTAATTAAGTTCTATTGCTATTTATTGTTACTAACGTCTTTCCCTGATAACCCCTATTTACAATCATTCGAGTGCTTCACCCAAACTAGATTTTACAAAACTTCTTGGTAGTAGATCAGAAGCATGCCCACTTACTAAGGCTTACCTGTGGTGAGCACAGTTGACCCTGCATCTGGAAGAGCTGCTCTTCCTACTGAAGTGGGGGGGGGCAGTAATAGATGTGATGATCTCCCCGCCCTTTGGAGGTAGGGTACTAAAACCTTTAGTGGAGCAATGTTGGGTTGAGTGGAGCCTCCATTGTCAAGCAAAAGGCTTCTTTTGCTTGTGAAGATCTCCATTAAGGACCAAATCTGGGCCCATCCCTGCATCTGGCTTGCACAGAGGCAGTCGTGTCATTCAACCAGCCTGTGGGAAATCTTTCAATGGGACACTTATCATATGAGATACAGGCATTGTTTTATGCTGGGTGAAGGTACTGCTCAGTTTGAGTCCCATGGGAAGGTATGACATAGATGAGAAGGACAAAGTATTTCATTGGAAAGCCAGAGGCCCCTCCAGCCTCCTCAAGATGCCCACTGATGTCCTGGATGGTAGGCAGTTGGAGAGCACATATTTAAAGATATAGACTGTCAGCCAGTGGGACCTTCAAAACCTCCCATTTGAATCTTGGCCAGGCTGAAGCCAAAAGAAGGGCAGGCATATCGTTCAAGTCTCATGGTGACTTAGTGGTCTCTAAAACGCTGAGAAGGATAGTGGGAATAGTATGTGTGGCTTCCTTCAAACCTCATTTAAGGAATTCTGGATTCGCCTATAGCCAACTGAGGTCCTTTGAAACAGCCAGCTTCCCCAGGGCTATGAGACTGGTTTGAAACAGTGGTTTGGTGTTCTTCTTAGAAGCAGTGTGGCTGTGGTGTGTGGGTAAGAAGGTTTGGGGGGCCTTGGTCGTAGGGAATGGCTAGGTCCCTTGCTGCTCCACTTGCATGGCCATAGTGAGAGAATGGGAGGTGCCAGAAGGGGCCATACTGTCAGTCACTGGTGGAGGACAGGGTCCAGAAGATGGGATATGCCTTTGGACAGCCCCTTATCCACTTTACCTGAGCCTGTAGCACCCTGCCAGGGCCTTCAGCCATAAGCTTCCCTGGTGACACAGAGCCAGATTCTGCACCAGTCCTCTCTGGTCCTGAGCCATTCTAGAAGGCCACACCCATCCCCACAGTCTCTGCAGCTAGGGCTCAGCCTGGGCCTTTGCCATCTTCCCTTCAAGGTGCCCCAGCCAGGGAGAGACCCTGCAGCTGCTCTTCCGTGCCTGCCAGCTCCGCCTCATCACGCCCACTCTCTGAGCCCTCAAAGCAGCCAGAGTCACGTGGGATGTCCACCTTGGGGTCTGACACGGTATGCAACACGGGCTCCTGGCTGCTCTCAGCACCCTCTTCAGCCTCTTCACTGCCAGCTGCTAGGAATGAAGACAAAATGGAGAGACTGGGTGCAGTTGAGGTTGGGATAGCAGGGTGTTTTCAGACTGGTCATGGGCTGGGACCTCTGGGCAGTGTCCTGTAGGCAGTCAGCTCGTCTGACTCCCTTTTCTACCTCTGCTTCTCTTCTTCCCACTTCCAGCGTAGAAGGTGGGAGCTGTTCCCCGGCCCAAGAGCTCAAACCTCTCCAGAACTGAGAGGGAGCCAGGCAACCTGGACTTGGTCTCTGGGGCTATTACTTAGCTTCATGCAAATGCCCTGTTTTCTCTGCCCTTAATCTCCCCTCTGATCCAGAGAGGGTTGGGCCTGATTACTCCTGTGACACCATCCCCTACCCCTACCCCAAGAAATTTTCCTGGAAACACCAACTCAAGTGAGGAAAAGCGTCTTCCTACTGCAAGGGAGGAGGGTGCCTTTGGGACAGAGCATGGTCAGAGCACAGGGCCTGGAATGCCAGTGAGAACCTATGGCCACCCCCCCACCACCACCACCAAAGCCACTCACTGTCATAGTCCAGCAGCAGCTCTGCAGCTGTGAGCAGCTTGGCCCGGTGCTGTGGGTCCATGATGTTCAGCTCATTGAGGTGTGTTTCCCGCAGCTCTTTGAAGTCTTCCAGTGTCTGGTAGCCATTGAGCAGCAGGGTGGATGTGTGCTCCTGGGGGACAGAGACAGGCCATCAGCAGTTTCCTTTACAAGCCACCTTGTCTGGAACTTTTCCCTTACACATAGCTATCCCCTTGGCCCCCATCCCAGTGGCAATTATGCCTCCTTCACTTCCAGACACAAATGCAAGTCCAAACTCAAACCTCCAGGCCAATGCGCTCCAGCAGCTCATGCAGAGTCTTCGGCTTGGGCCTCTTGCCCTTGCTCTGTCGGCGGCTGGGGCGCACGGGCTCCACAGCCTCCTCGGGCAGCACATCCACATAGATGAATTTGAAAGAGCCCAGCTTGCCATTGAGAAGGCCCAGCCATGTGCCCACAGGTGGCTTTTCTATGATCTGGATAACATCTCCTTTCTGTGGGGACGGAGAGCAGAAGAGAGCAGGGGGGGGAGCACTTGGCTTCTGCTGACACTTTTCATACTTTGTTTTGTTTTCTTCCTTTGCAGCTGAAGCCTGCCAGGCTCTGGAGGGGCCCAGGTACCAACTTTACCTGCAGTTTCAGTGAGTCGTGGTCATAAGGGCTGGGAGTAAAGTCAGTGTGGACTCGAGCACGTCCACAGAAAGGCCCTGTGTACTGGGGAGCAGGTGTCTCCTCCATGAAGCTTCCAGAGCCTGGGCCAGGGCTACAGAGTTCACTGCCTGCAGAACACAGAGAGAGAGGAAGCATGTCTTTGTCCCAAGGCAGCTGGGGTAGGCAGTGCCTAGTAGGGGCACTACAGGAAGCTCCTAAGGAAACACCCTTGTGACAGAAACTGAACTTGTGATTCAGCTCAAGCCCCTTAGCCACTCTGGTGAAGCGTGGCTTTCTACCTCTAGGCCTTCAGACAATGAAGAGTTGATAGCTAGACAGTTGGCTCATAGAGACTATCGGATGGGCAAATCTGGAGCAACTCTGGGGGCCCAGCAACTCTCCAGGTAGGCCAAATGACACCCCCACGGCCTTTTTTATACTTGGTGCCATTGGCTCTACCATACTATATGCTCCTTCCACACAGGACGACCTACCTTGCAGCATTCTTTTACTTTCTCTATTTTATAAGACTGAACGTTTAGTAACAAGGCCTTATGAAAATGCTGGCACACTCTTTCTACCCAAGAAGAGCAGGGTGATGGGAATTTTGTTTTTGTTTTTATTTTTCAAGACAGGGTTTCTCTGTGTAGCTTTGGAGGCTGTCCTGGAACTAGCTCTTGTAGACCAGGCTGGTCTCGAACTCACAGAGACCCTCCTGCCTCTGTCTCCTGAGTGCCGGGATTAAAGGCGTGCACCAGCCATGTCTGGCTGGGTGATGGGGATTTTAAGGGGATTTCAATGGGAGGCAGAGAGAGGGCAACACGAGTGGGATGAGCCTGGGGGACTTCCAGGCAAAGCAACTCTTGCCTAACTCCTGAGCTATTAGAGGATCTGAGAGCCAAGAGGCTGACTCTTTAGAACTGGAAAATCCATCTCTGGACTTCAAGGTGGGGTGTTTCAGATAGTCAAGGGGCTGTGTAGCCTGTAGGTCCCCTTGGACAACTGAGTACAGGCTGGTCCAAGAGGACAATGACGTTCTTCCTCTGCTTGTGGTTCTTTCCAGGCCTGAGATAGCAAGTGGAAGCCCCTGCAAAGTAGATCTGAGTTCAATACTGGGTCACTTGGCAAGTCATTCAACTTCTTTGTGCCTCAGTTTGCACATCAACAAAGTGGGGATGATAGTATAGGCCCTGTCATGTTAGGAGGAAGATTGAATGTGAAGTGGGTCGAAAGGTTCCAGTCAGTAGAAGACAAATATTCATTTCTCTTTCAACCCTTTCCCAGAAAAGCCCTGGGCACTGTCCCAGTCTTCTTCCCTCCAGAGCTGGCAGATGTCCACTCACTTCCCTGCTTACCTGTTGATGTCTGCCGACTGAGAGCTGGCAGTTCACGTTCCTCCTGCTCAGAAAAGGCTAGGGCCATCTTCTCAGGCCCGGGGCTGTCCAGGCTGCAGTCTGGAGATGTTGGGGAGGCTGAGCCCTCCTCCAGTGTGTCTCCCTATAAGAAGAGTGTTGGAAGCTCTGAGAAGCCTTGCTGTGACCAGCCAGTCCCCAGTACAGTAAAACTGGGCATGAGTTTGGTTCAGATGATAGTTTTGTTACCCACAGGTTCCGTGGCTACATTCTGAACCTTAGTTTCCTCTTTTGTAAAAATGAGAATGGCAGATCCGGTTCTCCTACATCACAGAAAGAGGCTTCCAGGGTACTGAGTGGACATACTCTGTCAGTTTCCAGTTTTAGTGGACATGTAGAAGACACCAGAGTGACTAAAGTTGGACATGGGACTGTTGCTCATGACATGGTCAGGCAGACAATTATGTCTGAGAATAATTGTCCACATTCTTGTGTGCCAGGCTTGTCTGCCACTTCATCTAATCCTCATAGTAACAGTTGAAGATAAGTAGTATGGTTAGCCTGAGTTTTAAGATAGTAACTTTGCCAAGGCCTGTGGGAAAAGGCAACCAAGTTGTCTGGCCCCAGAGCTCCTTCTATCTCAACTCAGTGCTTCTGAGCATGTGTTCTTTAGCAGCTGGTTCTCTTCAACTAAAGGACTGGGTGATTTGCCAATTCCTTTTTGTGGATGTTCCACATCAATGGGCAACATCTGGGTACCATTACATGTCCCTGGATGAGTTGTCAGAAGAGATATTTAGGTTATTTCCATTATGTAAATAGTATACACACATCAGCAACATGTGTAAAAATAAGGGGTTGTGCTGGAATTAGGAGATGATGGATTTTGAAGATGTTTACCATCACCCAACTTGATACAAGCTAAAATGATTTGGGAGAGGGAGACTCAATTGGGAAAATGCCTCCATAAGATTGGGTTCTAGGGTGTTTTTTTAAATTAGTGATTAATGGGGAAGGGCCCAGCCCATTGTGGATGTTTCTATCCCTGGTCTGGTAGTCCTGGGTTCTATAATAAAGCAGGCTGAGCAAGCTGTGAGGAGCAAGCTATTAAGCAGCACTCCTCCATGGCTTGTGCATCAGCTCCTGCTTCCAAGTTCCTGCCAGGCTTGATTTCCGATCCTGGCTTCCTTCAATGATGAACAGTGATGTGGAAGTGTAAGCCAAATACATCCTTTCCTCTCCAAGTTGCTTTGGTCAATAGTGTTTCATTACTGCAATAGTAACCCTAATTAGGACAACTGTTGTTTCTAATAGGACATATTTGATTTAAAGTGCTCTGTCTTTCTCTCTCTCTCTGTCTTTCTCTCTCTGTCTCTGTCTCTGTCTCTCTCTCTCTCTCTCTCTCTCTCTCTCTCTCTCTCTCTCTCTCTCTCTCCTGTGTGTGTGTTTGGTAGCATTGGTGATCAAACCCAGTGCTTTGCACATGCGAGGCACTGATTTCTGTTACGTCTATCGAAGCCGATTTCTAATAATTCATGACAGTTAACCAACTGCCCTCACAAAGCTAGTTGAGCTGGCTCCAGGATTCAAGACACCTCATGAAGGAGCTACAAGCACGAGCAGCCCACCCAGTGCTCTAGGCTACTGGGGCTATGCCTGCTCCACAGCTCTCTCTATCACTTTCCTCCAGGGCTGAAGTTAGCAACCTCCACTTTCTCTACACTCTGAGTTAATGAAGGTTCAACCAATCAATTCCTTTCTTTCTTTCTTTCTTTCTTTCTTTTTTGCAGGTTTTATTTTGTAATTTATATGTGTATGTGTGGGTGGGGTCATGTAGGGGTTATATGCATGTCAGTGCAAGTGCCTCTGGAGACCAGGAGAGGTTGTTGGAGACTTTGGAACTGGAATTACAGGTGGGTTTAAGTCAGCCACCATGGCTGCTGGAAACCAACCTTTTGCTCTCTGAAAGAATAGTAGACACTCTTAACTGCCGAACCATCTCTTCAGCCCCACAGTCTGACTTTCTGATGGTTACAAAAGTGACACCATTCAGTGGGAGCCACACATTGAATCTTGAATTTGGATCCTTGCCCAGGCTGGCACTATATAGTGTGATCCTATCTGGTGATACTGGGTAGCAACAGTGAGTCATAGCTCTCCATCAGCCACATGGTAAACAGAGGAGCGTCTGGAATTTTCTCTGTTTTCCTGGAATTGGGCCCTTTTAAATCAATCCCAGCTTCTTCCAATCAGAGTTTGAGGCTGGATACATTCGGCTCGGGAGAGCTCATCTTCCTTTCAGCTGCCCTCGCTCTGTTGCCCAGACTTTCATCTGTCCTCAAACTCAGTCCTTTCCTAGCCAGCCTCCTATAGCCATAGCTAGTGATAAAACACCCCCCCCACTTCCTCTACCCCCAACCCCCATGCCCCGGCCTCCACCTCCATGTGAACACCCTGTTTGCACTGAGCAGAACCTGCACCATCTCAGCAGTGGCTCTGCAGGTGATCGTGCTCACTTCCCTGCAAGAGCGGCCTCCTTAGATGTCTTTGACCTCACCCTACCCTTGGATTCCAGGCCTCACCATCTCCTCTGACAGAGCCTTCACCATCATCTTGCCCATTTTCCTGTTCATGGTTCGGGAAATGACTGCCCTCCACTTCTTTCCCAACTTTTTGCCACTCTTCCCAGAATCCTCTGGGGTAAGAACACCTGAGTCATCTTCTGGAATCTGTGATGACAACAAAAGAAGAGGTTCAGGGACCTTGGCAACACTGGCTTGGATCCAGGTCTTGGAATACAAAGAAGTCTTCAGGCCCCTGGATTGGGTGGAGGTGATAGGATGGAGAGTGCCCCACCCCCTACTCCTATTCCCTTTTGGTGCTTAGGAGAAGTGGCCCTTCTGAGTTAAGGAAACTGTCCCAATGACACTAATTCCTCCTATTTCCCCTCCACCCCTCCACCCCCACTTCCCCTACTCAATATAGGCCCAAGAGTCTCTGAAACTCACATTATCATCCAGGTTAAATTCCTTCTCGCTCACCACAGGGGAGCTGGGCTTGGATTTGGCAAAATCCTTAAAGCTGCTGGAGCGTTGAAGCGAGAGCTGGAAGAAGCAGAAATGCTGTAATTATTGGTGCTAAAATGACTGCTCAAGGGTAGATCTCTTCTCCCTTCTGGGCACATACACCCGCATCAGGGCTGGGCAGAGCAACATAAACCCTGAGGTGAAGAGACAACATGCATTGTTCTTCATTCTATCCCTGGCCTCACAACAAAGGACTTCTGGCCTCAGGTGCCTCATACCTCAGTGCTCCAGACTAAACCTAAAACTTCCCACCAGCCCCTGAAATTTGGTTCCAGAACTCCAGCATGAGAGTCAATGGGTCAGAATCAGTGTACACGTCAGCATCTGTGAAAAAGTCATAAGTGAACTAGTGTGTTAGAGCCAGGTTGCGATCACAGCGACAGGGGCAAACATATCCAGGCCTACAGCCTGATGAACTTTTGTCCCAGGAACACAAAGACAATCCCTCCAGATGCCTGGCATGACACTTTCTAGAGAAAACACAGTAGAGGCTTCCTTATACAAGGCATCTATAGATTGGGCTCATAAACATCTAGAACAGAATTCAGTTCAAGAAAGCCACCATTTGTCTCTTGATTCATCTCAGCTTTTAATCTTGGCCACCAGTGAGAGAAGCTGGCAAGTGCTGATTTTTGCCTGTGTTTGGACTTCAATGCATGACCCGTTGTTTGTGTTGATGAGATTATCATGTGCATGCTTAGATATCACCCTGAAAACAGGACGAGCCAGGTAAAGGGGGAGGGCACTATAGATACAAATAGTTGAGGCTAAGCCTGTGTCGCGATAGATAAACAGACAAAGCCAACAGACACACACAGGAACCAGAGTTCACAGATGGCCAGACAGATAAAGTGGGGATAGACCTCAGACACCCAAGATAAGGGCTTGAGGAACCAGAGCTCCAAACCCCCACTAAAGCTGAAGGGTTCACATCCTTCTTCCTACTCAATGGGGGTGTGTCCAGTGACAACCCCCAGATCAGGGGGTGACAGCGCTTGCCCCTCCAGTGCAGTTTGTCTTAACTCCTAGAGACTGCACTGTAGCTGTCTGGTACATTTGCTGGGTCTTGACCAAAGCTGAATCAGCAACTGGTTTTCAGGGTCATGTATTCCTAGAGGTAGTTGGCCAGAAACTAGGTCAGCAGTTAAGCCAAGCAGAAACCAGCATCATTGGGGGCACATAGGTGGGTGCCTGGAGCCTCAGTTGGTAAGTTTCCTTTGTGATACCTTTGAGACCTGGATAGAGGGGCTGTGAGTGGGTATACAGAGAAGAATATCTGACCATGGGGTGATTCCCATGATTCCCATGCGTCTCCTCTCCATCCTCAGCACCCCTCCCAAGGCTCTTTCCTCCTTTCCTTTCTTTCTTCCCCCTCTCCTCTACTTTCCATCCATTTTCTTTTCGTGTATGGTAGGATGCAGCTGCCTGGATAACTTCCCCCTCTTATTGCAGGGAAAAGAGGGAACAGAGAGAGGGTGGGCACCAAGCTGGCTTGGGCCCAAAGAGAGCAGACTAGGTTGCTATTTATAGGCCAATGGGGCCTATTGTGGCCTTCCCTCCACAACTGCTTAACCTAGACTCCAGAGAGGGAGGCGGGAGGCTGAGAGTCGCCCCTGAAGCCCCAGGGACTAATGAGGCTGGAAAGCGAGCCAGAGGGCAGATGTGGGGTGGGAAAGTAAGCTTTGTTAGGAAGAGTAAGCTTATTGCTAGGCTGTTCTCTAATCGAAGCTCTTCCTCCAGACCCTTTCCTGGTATTAATTTGCAGGCTGTGAAGCTGGGAGGAGAGGCCTTTGACTCCCAGGCGTCTGTCATGGCCCCTCTGTGTTAGCTTAAGCCCAATGCAGGAGACAACCCTTTCAAAAGGGCCATGGAGGTAATTCTGGGGCTTGGGCCCAGCTGGCCACTCTTTAGTCCAGATCAACAAACAGGACAGGCACATGTTCTTCAGGTGATTAGCAGCAAGAGTCAGCTAAGAGGTCTTTTGCCAGGCGGTCCTCCATCCTCAGAAGCAGCCACAAATACCCTGGCTGACTTTGGCTAACCCTGGGATAGCCTAGTCAAAAGGTGAGTTGAAATCCATGAGCTCATTTTTTGTTTATCTGTCCCCCCACTTTGGGGGTGAAGCCTGGCTGGGAGTCGTTGCGGGCAAGAAGGAAGTACTATGTACTGGTGGCCTCTTTTTCAAGTCTAAGGAGAGCATGTGGGCCTCTTGGAAACAGCTCCACTTTGTGCAGTGGGTGTTGCTAAGTTCAACTCTGCTATGACTCTGGTATGTGTGGCCCCAGATGACTTATTTAACCTTTCAAACCTCAGTTTCTTCTTTTCCACCACTGACCAGCTATTGAAGTTACTATTTTCTCTGTGCTGTTGTTTCCTCATTAGTAAAATGATGACAAAACCTCTACTGCTCTGAGCTGTTGTCAAGATGAACTAAGTATCCATCCAGTGCTGGGAACATCACCTGGCACATCTGCCCCTCCTGGGATGCTGATTTATGTTTAGCCTTTGTATGACCCATCTGCAAACTTTGTTGTTGTTATTGTTTTCAAGTCAGGATTTCTCTATCTAACAGCTCTGGCTGTCCTGGAGTTTTCTTGCGGACCAGGCTGAACTTGAACTCACAGAAATCCATGGGCCTCTGCCTCCAGAATGCTGGTACCAAAGGTGTGCTTCACCACACCCGGCCTCATCTGCAATCTCTCTCTCTCTCTCTCTCTCTCTCTCTCTCTCTCTCTCTCTCTCTCTCTCTCTCTCTCTCTCTCTCTCTCTGAGACAGGGTTTCTCTGTGGCTTTGGAGGCTGTCCTGGAACTAGCTTTTGAACTCACAGAGATCCGCCTGCCTCTCCTTCTCAAGTGCTGGGACTAAAGGCCACTACTGCCTGGCTCATCTGCAAACTCTTAACCTGGACATTTTCCCATCTATAACACTCTATACTTCCAGTAACTGCCTGAAAGAAATCTCCTTTCGATTTTAGTTTACCTGGAGACAACACAAATATCCATCAACTGTAGAATGGATTCATTGTGTCAAGAGTCATACAGGAGGACAGTAACCAGCAATGCAACTATCTCAGTAATGTTCTTTATTCCTAAAACATGAATAAATCTCACCAACACACAGTTGATGAAAACTGGTCAGCTTCCCCCAAAAGTATGACTCATAATTCTTCCTCCACAAAGTTCAAAGCATGGGGGAGCTCATTTATGCTGTCGGAAGTCAGCAAAGTGGTTACTCTTGGGGAAGGGGGTATGTGGTGACAAGTAAGGTTGTGAGAGAAACTTCTGGAAATTCAGAAATGGTTTATTTCATGAGCTGAGTGCTGCCTACCTGAGGATATCCACTTTATGGAAACTCACCATATGGATATCATACTCAGAAGAAAAAGGGGTTTCTACTCAAGTTTCAAAGGCAGCACCCCTACAGAAGTTCTCCTCTGATCACCCCTCATAGCTTTACACTACCCCAGGTGGCTCACCTCTCTTGCATTTCCCCCAGAATTGTGCTCTAAGCTACTTCAGTGATCTAGGCCCTAGCCTCTGTGTGTATGTGAAACCATCAAAGGAAGGTTCACCGCCACCCATATGCCCAACAGCTTGCCAGGTTCTTCATATATGTCAGCCTACTCCAGCATCACCACCTCCATATTACATCCCCACCTCTCAGTGAAGGAAATGGAGATGCAGAGAAACTAAGTGTTCTAGGCAGAGTCCCATGGCTTGCAGAGGAGACACAAGAGCAGGGCATTCCTAAACCCAAGTCTGGGACTTGACACTGGAAGGCCGTTTGCATTCCTGGGCTTGTGCTACTTCATAGCTAGCGAAGTCACTTCCACACCAAGATAGAAATGGGCTGAGTACAGAGATGACTACAAGTGCTGTTTGCATGGAGACACCAGGAGAGCAGGTCAGAACAACTGTGAAGGAAAGACTCAGGCTTTCTAGGAAAATGCACATTTAACCAGACTCAGGCAGGAGATGGGATACTCCTCCACTAGGAGCTAGGAAACATTCGAATGAGAGTGAGAAGCTAGGGGTAATCTGAGGTGATGTAATGGTGGATAGGTCCTAAGTTGTTCAGGCAGGCAAAGCAAAAAGGTCATGGAAGGTTTTTGCTAGCCATGTCCCTGTGGACAATGGTGAGCCACGAGTTGAATGGCATTTATCTGAAATGGTTAGGACCAAAAGTGTTCCACATTTCAGAGTGCTTTGATTTTTGAGACAGAGTTTCTCTGTGTAACTGCTCTGGCTGTCCTGGAACTCACTTGGTAGAACAGGCTGGCCTCAAACTCACAGAGATCCTGTTGCCTCTGCCTCCTGAGTGCTGGGATTGCAGGGAGTACCAATACCACCCGGCTTCAGATTTTGATTTTTTGAGGTAGTGTCTCATGTAGCCCAGGCTGGCCTCTAATTTGCTATGTAGCAGAGGATGACCAATATTCAAGTGGTAGAGAATGGTGCCTCTACCTCTTAAATCAATATTCATTACAGATTACATCTGTGGCTACCATGCTCAGTTTACATGGTGCTGAGGATTAAACTGAGAGCTTTATGAATGCTAGATGAGCACTCTAGTGGCTGAGCCACATCTCTAGCCCTTCCAATATAAAAAAAATCTAATATTTTCAGGTATATTTATAATGAGATTTTTTTTGATGATGAGACATCTATACATGAATTTCATGTGTATTTCATATATTCCTTATATGTATATTTTGAAGGTAATTTTATATAACACTTATAGTGTGCCCGTGTTTTGACTATGACCTATCATACGAGGTCAAGTGTGGAATTTTCTACTTGTAGCACCATGTTGACTTTCAGACTCCTTCAGATTTTGAAGCATTTTCATAATGCTGCTCAGTCTGTAGTGAGACTACAAAGCATGTGTTGTTGGAGTGTCATTCTAGAATTGTGACATGGGGGAACACTCTTCTAGTATTTGGGAAGATTTGAGAAGAAATAGACTATAAGGAGGCAATGGCCCAGCACTTGAACACGAGCCTAGGTTCCTTTCCATTTCCCCTGGAGGGAGGCAAGAAAATAGGGATTCATTGGAGAAGGGCAGTCTTTAGGGAAGACAGGTCAAGAACACATCCCTCTCCATTTCTTCAACATCGACATTGATGTTTGATGGAAGTAATAGCAAAGGGAATGCAGTGAGTGTGCACTTGAAGATGATGCAAGTGTCCACAGGGCAGCCAAGGGCCAAACTCTCCCACTCTGGAGCACCCTCCTTCCTTCAGAAGCACAACAGGTGCCATGTACTGAACCTGTTGTCTGTCTCCAAGGCCTACCTTCTCTGTTCTGTTGGCTTGTCTCTCAGTTCCCGGCTACCTGAGTGTATCACACAGAGTTCTCCTATTGATGCACTGAACCTTTTGCTGGTTACTCTCTCCTAGTGTTTCCAGGAGACAAGGGACAAGGGTGTGCAGCAAGAAGGAGGTAAGAGTCTGAAAATAAGCACCTGGGGTTGGATCCTCGAAACTGACAAGCTGCATACGTCATCAGTCTGGGCTTCTGGTGTGAAATCACTATAAAAGTAATACCTTTCCCTGACCTGCAAGGTTGCCCTGACAAGTGAGCAAGCTAAGCCATGAGCAGAGTGCAGAGCCCAGCACATGGCCTCTGGTGAGCCTGGTGGTTCTCCATAGGCCTTGTTTCCTGTACTTCAAAGACTAGAACCATGGTTTATTCTTTACAGTGTGCTCCCTGACTTGGCTCATGCCACAGCAAGCATCCCCTTGTAGGCAGGAGCACATGTGACACACAACTATTATTCCAGTGATCTCTACCTCCTGAGATTAGACTTCTCCTTTTCTTCCAAAGGTGAAGAAGCCGAGGCCCACCGGAACTCAATCAACTGTCCAGGGTCCCAGGGCAGAACATGGCAGGATTCCAAATCCACTTCCTTGCCCCTTGCCCCCAGCACCCTGTCATTAGCAGAAGGAGGAGCTGAGACAGGGACAGGTGGGAGAAGCTTCCTTTGTTTTTGTTCATTCCCGTCTGCCATATCACCTCAGTTGCCCAAGATGGAGCTGGCTACTGTCTCTAGACCTTGGGAAGATGGCACATTTTCTGGATGTTTGGTTGTGCTAAGGGCATTTTTTGAATAGTATGAGGCTTGGGGATGTAGAGGCATGCCCATTTTGGCTCCTGGAGGCTGGCATGGGCTCTGACATGAACTACTCTCCCTTAAAGGATGTGGACCAAAGACTTTTCTTTAAGAGGTTTGAAGGAATTCCCAGAGGCCCATCCGCCGCTGGGTAATTGGATCCAAGAGGGAGGAAAGGGATTTCTTGTTTTGTGTGCCTCAGGGAACTATGAGCCCTTTCTCATACTCTTTCCTCCAGCTTGATTCTCCTGTGGTTTGGGGCCTACCAGTGTCTATACAGCAGTCTCTGTTTCCCTCATGAGCTAGAGAGCAAGGGGAAGTGGCTTGGCTCTGAGGAGTGGCAACCAATGGCAAGCCTTTGGGGCCTAGTTTAGGTGGGGGTAGGGTGGGGGTGGGGGATGACAGGGCCCTGTGTGAAGATTCACAAATCTCCCCTTCCTCCACCTACCACCACTGCAACCTTAGAGAAGCAGCCGAGATGGCGAGCATACAGCTGAAAGTGGCAGCCACCCAGATCCTCAGAGGTGGGACAGGATGCACACCCCAGTGCTCTGAGCTTGTTTCTCAGCTGTCACCCTCTGCCTGGGAACTGACGAGGGGACTCCCCCGTAGTGTACCTGAGTTGAATCCCAGGGGAAACTGGTAGGGCACAGTGAGAGTCCTGGAGGACCCTGACTATGGCTTGGGTGCTTCGATCTAGTCAGGCCTGCTTCGGAATGTTTCTGTACTCTCTCTCACTAGACATGCAGGCCAGACAGAATCCTACAATAAAATGAACACTAGACATACAATCAGAGCAACCTGCACATGACAGAGTCTTCAAGACTCTTCCAGTCTAGCTGCTGCCTCAGGAAGATGAACACCTCGGCCGTCCATGACAGCTATCTTCCTTCCTGGCCTTTGAAATCTCCCTCCCCCACCAAAACTTTCCTCCTCAGTTCTCACACCTACTCACCGTGTCATCAGCTTCATTTCTCATTTTTCATAAGGTCTCCCACCCAGAAAGAACCCGTGTAACCCTCCCAAATTCCAGTGCATTTTGGTGGGCCCTTCTGAGTCTGAAAACAGTGGCCTGGGGAGCTATAGTTGATATGAGCCCAGTGGGGAGGGGCATGGATCCTGCCAAAAATTAGGGAGCCTGGGCTACCTTGGTTGGGTAGGCCAGTGGGGCCCTTTAGATAAGGTAGCTCCCAAGAGGACACACTTGAACAGAAGTGACACAGAACCAAGCTAAGGGAGACAGAATTAAGTATGTTCTTGGGATTTGACCAGGGCCCTGTATTTTGTAATTCTCAAACTGAGGTCTATGAGTCTAGCCCTTAATTTCTTTAATCTCATGGTTGTGGGATTGTAGTCTATAACTCTACACTTCTAAAAGTCCAATTTATAACTCTGTGCACCAGAGTTTAAAAGTGTCTTCCGTACTCCTACTACTCTAGTGACGGTTGAGCCTATCCCTTTGCTTTCTGGGAGAATGGCCTTCATCTACAAGCTCAACACACTGTCTTGGTTCAACTCCCCCCCTAACAAGAGTCCAGGAGGAGATTGGTGGAGAGTGTGAAGGAGGGCAGGAAGGAGTGAGAGCTAGAAGATGCTCCTCACCTTTTTCTTCTGAGTGGGCTCCTTGTCACTGGCGTTGGAGGGTTTGCGACGCAACATGGTCCTCTACTGCAGTGACACACCTGCTCTGTTCTCCAAGGTGCTGAGATGCAAAGGTCTCTTGTCCAGCCTCACCAGCACCAGTCAGGTGGCCCGGCATAGACTGAGCCTCCAGATGCCACTCTTACTGCTGCAATGGCAACTTGGGGGTGCGGGCCATGGGCACCCAGCAGCAGCAGCAGCAGCAGCAGCAGCAGCATACAGGAAACCTTGCCACGTGACCTACTCTTACAGCAATCATGGCCCCCGCTGGCCTCTAGGGAGGAAGGAAGTCCCAGCTTCAGTCTCCAGAGACTCTGATGCAGACAGATCTTGACTTGAACAATCAGAGAAAAACCCCAATCCTGTTGTCTCATGGCATTCACCAGCAGTTCTTTTCCTCTCTGGCTTATTCAGGCTCTATCCTCACTGAGTAAACTTCGGAAATCAGAAGGCGAGCAACGTCTCTGCCTGTTGAGTAAATGCCCCCAGTCAATTTGCAAATTCAAAGTCATTACTGCTATCACACTTACCATTATGGTCACCCCTATGGCCACCATCTCCATGGCCATCGCTACTGCTACCATTACCAGATAGTCACAATTCTACAACCATGACCTCTACAACTGTCATGGCCAGCATCCCCACTGCTGCCAGCACACCTTAGCGATGAGTGATATTTCCATGGCTTCTATCATTTCCATAGTTGTCACCCTTACAGACATTGCATTCCTGGTGCTCTTAGTACTGCAACTTTCAATAAGCCTGCATCCACAACCCTTACAGTTATCATCCCAGTAAAACTTCACATTTTCATCAGCACACATCTGGCCCTCATTCTAGATGAAGTGTCTATACTCAGCATCCCTCAACGGTCACAAAAATCTGATCACAAGAACAACTAGGAAATATTTCTCAGGCGATGCTGTGTCAACAACAGGTGCCCCATTCAAAAGGCGCTTATCAAATGCCTATGCACCATACCCATCTTGTGAAGTATGTGTGGCAGATGATGACAATGGCAATGATGATTTGCAGAGGTCTAACCCATGGCTTACATATGCCAGGTAATTATGTTACCATTGACCATTTGTGGCAGATGTTTAAATACTTTCAATGACTCCTGTTCACTACGAAGCTACTGGTATGCATCAGATACCCTTTAGTAAATATAGGTGAACAATGAACAGAAATTTCAAAAGTCTCTATAGTCAGCTTCCACATTGTCTAGGTAAATGTCTTTTACTGTTTTCAGCATCTAGCACCTCTGTTTAAACATAAGTCTATTTCTTCCAAAAAACATCATACTGTAAAGGACACATATCATTGGTTTGGGGAGATTTGGGGAGATGGACACATAGAACTTTTTGGAGATGATGATTACGTGTACTCTTTTGATGGTAGTGATAGTTTTATGAATGTAACTTATGAAATTTTATGTTTTAAAAAGTTAACAGTTTACTAAAGTTAATAATACCTCAGTAAAGCTTTTTTTTTTAAAGTTTGAATGAAAAAAACCCAATTTCACAAACTGTTCATATTTGCTTTTCATGTGGAATATATTTATATTTTCTCAAGCACAGGTTCTTGTTTTGTGTCCCAGGCTGGCTTGTAACTTGTGATCCTCGTGGCTCAGCTTCCTAGGTGCTGGGACTATAGATGTGCACCACCGCAACTGGCTGAACTATTAGGAAACTTTGTGATGATATGTGTGCATGTGTGTGTTTATGTGTACACTCAGGATGTGTGCTTCCTGTGCGTTCGTGGAGGCAAGCAGTCTATGCTGACTGTCTTCTTCTATTGCTGTCCACCTTAGTTTTTTTGAGAAAGGGTCTCTCATTGAACCAGGAGCTCATGGTTTTCAGCTAGACTGGCTGGCTAGTGAACTTCTGGGATGCACAGGGCTCTGTCTTCCCCATCCAGTCCTGGAGTTACAGATGTACGTCACTTCATCCAACTTTTATGTAGGTGCTCAGGATCCAAACCCAAGCACAACAGGCAATTTCCTCAAAGAGCCATCCATCCTCCCCAGCCTGAATTACATGATCTTTTAAATGGAATGGCTGCTTAGCATCTGGTTGTGGGAACCCACAATAATTATCTTGTCTTGGTTGATTTTTAAAAAACACACAAGTACTTATTGAAAGTCCTTAAGGTAAAATGTACTCAGTTACATATATAAATTTATTATTAGGTTAAATGTCCAAAGAGTTTGGAATTTCTGGGGTAAGAGATGTGCACCTTTCTTCTTCTTCTTCTTTTTTTTTTCCTTTAGGGTTCTCAAGATAGGATCTCTCTGTGTAGCTCTGTCTGTCCTGGAACTTGCTCTGTAGACCAGGTTGACCTTGAACTCATGGAGTTCTGCCTGCCTCTGCCTCCCGAGTGCTGGGATTAAAGGAGCCTGCCACCACTGTCCGGTGCACATTTTTTTTCTTAATTCAAATACATCTTTATTCTTAGAATAAAATAATTCTTCAAAGAAGGTAGAAGAGAACAAGTAAGAAATAAACTCTTGCAGTGACATGAAAATGAATATTCGTCTTCAGTAGGAGTCTTTCTTACCTGGTTCCCGCCCTCCTTCGTTGTTTTTTCCTAACCTCGTGGAACATCATAAGGAACTCGAACACACACCTTTGCAGGGCTTTCGATTCTCTGGAACTTGTTAAATCCTTGAGCTGGTCTGCCCCAGCTCCCAAGATGTTCTCGTAACTTCCTCCCTGGACCCTACGGCCTTCAAATCATTCATCTGCGAGCTCAGGGAAGAAGGACAAAGTCCATCTCTTTCAAGATAAAACCATATTTCCTCTGGCACTAGTCCAGCCAAACTGCCGGGCTGACTCATGAAAAGATTCTGCCTTCTCTACCTTCTCCATTCCTTTCTTATTGCCTTACATTTTTTCCAGTCCGAAAGTCTTTCCCTGGCTGCCTAGGGGCACCAAGTTAACTGGCTAAGGCTTTGCAGTATGTTTAGAAGCCTGAAAGCTAGGAAGGGAACAGACATTCCAGCCTGCCAGAGGTGTGATGGGGTGTGGTGGGTGGGGTAGGGGTGGGTTCAGACCAGAGGTCATTCTCCCCAGGCTCTGGGATAAAGAGTACAGATGGTTTGTCCAGGAACACCTGAGGCTTACAAGGCCAGGAGTCTGGAAGGCGGGAACAGCTCACAGAGCCTCTCCGGGCCTATGCAGCGTCCCTGGCCGGTACTCAGGATGTGCCCACTTCCTGTTTGCCCAGCCCCAGCAACGAGCAGAGCTCACACACTAACCGCAGAATCTTCAAAGGCTGCCAATAAACCCGGGTGGGCGGTGGGCCTGGGAAAGGGGTAGGGGTGAAGTGGGAGGTAAAGTCATCCAGGGCGGAATACAGAGAAGTGGCAGACCCCAGTCAGGCAGAGCAAGAGTTCTCAGTGCCTCCCTGTCTCTTCTTGCAGATTTGTGTAAGACCCAGTCCGCAGCCTGTGTTCTGGGGGTTCAGGGTCTCCCTCACGCAGACTTGCCTTCTCTCAGCCTTTCTTTCAGTAGATGACCCTGGCTAGAGTCCCAGTGGGTCAAGGTCCCAGGAGCTAATGGGTCCTAAATACTTTTTTAATGGGCTTCTTACCATATTTGCATTTTATAGGTTCTATTCCAGATACACAGAGTCTTCAGCTCAAGAAGTGACCCAGGGCAAAATAGTCGAATGAACAAGACCATGCTCAACTTGATAATGGGCTGACAGGCAGGACACAGGAGCTTGGTCTGGCCACAGCCTTGTGCTAGGCACTTAGTGGAAGGGCAAGAGAAACAGATGGCAATGTCCCTTGCACGTGAGAACTGCCATCCTAGGCAGAGTGGCAGGCTTTCATTTGCCCCGTGCTTGTTCTTTGCCAATTGCTTCATTAGATACTTAATAAGTAGTCTTCAATCCCACTACAACCCTCCCGAGAAGCAAGGGAGGTCGTTTAGGCTAGAATAAATAGGGAGATGTGGCCTAGAAGGAAGTATAAATAATCAGGTAAGGGAACCTTGATTTAACACACAATTGGTGTGGTGTGGTATGTGTATGTTGATTGTGGCTATCCTACTGATAACAAGGTGAGTCTGAACCTTTGGGTAGTGGATGTCGGGGTGCCAAGGTCTCCAGACCCTTGTAAATTGTGTTTACACAGAGCAGGCCCCCACCAGCACACCCAGTGTAAAGTCTCTTGGTAGAGAGATGATCATGGGTGGGATATATAAGGCAGGTGGGATCCAGACGTGTGGATGGACTTGCCTTCCTTATGCCCCTTTATAGGTACATCCCTGCTTTGAGAGATTAAGAGTTTGGATACTGAAGGACACTACATTTCCCCAAAGACGTTTTTCCTTGATGCCTACCCTCAATCCTCCCTACAGTCCAGGTAAAAAAAACTTGTTGGCTTTACAACCCTGCAACCCAGGCACTGTGGTTAGCCCCATTTTTCAGGAAGTCAGGGTACCGTGGGGGTTAAGTGACTTGCTCAAGAGTGCACAGCTAGTACCGATTGGAGCTGAGGCCTAAACACGGGCCATGTCTTGGTTTGGGGCCACCCTATTAAGCATTTGGTTAAGGTGCCTCTGCAGAGTTTTACGAGGGGGACATGAAAGCACTGTGGAGCCTTTTTGCCATGCTTTTTCTCTGTACTGGGACTAGGTTGGGCTGGGCACAGGACTGGATGTCACAGGGCCACCTAGAAGCAGGGGTGTGAACAGGATGAAGAAGGCATCTGAAGTCACATCGGGTGCATTCCAGCTGCAGTAACTAGGGCAGGTTAAGTGAGAATGACGTACAAGGAGGCCCTTGTCATTGTGTCAAGGAGTAAACATCTGTCATAGTTTGTCTACAGAGTTGGGGAAGGGATTGGAGGCACGTCCATTCCCAACAGCTGTCATATAGGTGAACACATACGTGGCTAGGAATGATGAGGACTAGGACAATTGGTTATTTGGATTCACTTGAAGGACGAAATTTTGGATACTCCGCTGATATGAATTCAGTCCTGGTTAAGTAGTTTTGTCTTTAGAAATACCTAAGCAAGGATTATGTAGTCCCTTGAAAATACCTGGGGATTTCCAGGTGAAGCCTGCCACTTCAGCCCATAATCACATTGTATGATTATCTTAGGCAGAGTGAACGTAAGAAGAGTAACTGCAAGCAGGGGCAGAGGAGGCCAAGAGACAAGGGGTAGGAAGCTCTTGCATCTGTGCCTAACACATGACATGTGCAAGATATACACAGGGCTTTCAGCTCAGGAACACTGGGGAGCTCCTACCAGAAAGACAATCATATCTGGACTTCCGAACCCATGATTAGGTCTTGGTTTAAAAACAAAAACCACCTGCAGGCAGCTGTGGCAGTTGTGCTCTGAAGAGGAGGCAGGGCTTTGGTGCTCAGAACAAAACATGCACATGACTCATTGGAGGGCCTTACTATGGAGGACTAGGTGTGGCTGGGTTGCTCTGCCTAGGACTCAG